TCAGAATCTGCAAAACAAGCTTGGGAAATCCTTGAGAAGTCTTTTGGAGGCGCTGAGAAGGTGAAAGAAGTGAGGTTACAAACTCACAAAAGTACGTATGAACTGCTTCAGATGGAAGACAGTGAAAGCATATCCGATTTCTTCACTAGAGTTACAAAACTAGTAAATCAAATCAAGATATGTGAAGAAGCGTTAACAACAAGAGCTGTTGTTTCTAAGATCTTAAGATCTTTAGCTCCTAAGTTCAACCACATAGTGGTGGCGATAGAAGAGGGGAAAGACTTGTCGAAATTGACAAAGGAAGAGCTTTAAGGGACGCTTGAATTTCATGAACAAAGAATGAACGAAAGAGCTGCAGGAAAATCGAAGAGTGATGTGGTCTTGCAGGCACATTCAACAAAAGAGACCAAAGGCAAAGGAAAGTGTTTCGACAAAGGTAGAGGTGGCTACAACAAATTGAATGGTAGAGGAAACCAAATCGAAGGAAACATGTCGAATCAAAGAAGACCATACCAAGGCAACTAAAGAGGTGGTGTTGCAAATAGAGGAAGAGGTGGTGGTCGAAAACCTGATAAGAGTCACATTTAATGTTACAATTGTCAGAAGTATGGACACTATTCGAGTGATTATCCAGAAAAACGAAAGAATCAAGAAAGTGATGCAAAGCTTGCAAAACATGAAGAAGAAGAAGAGGTGATGCTGATGGTCACAACAAGAGATGAAGATAGATTCAAGGACCAGTGGTACTTGGATTCAGGATGTTCATCACGTATGTCTGGAAGGAAGGACTGGTTTGTCAATATAAAGCCCTCAATAAAAAATATGGTAAAGTTTGCAAATGACAATACCTTAGCAGCTGAAGGTATTGGTGATGTTATGGTTATGAGGAAAGATGGCAAAAGGTCAGTAATCTCCAACGTGTTGTACATACCAGGCATGAAGAGCAATTTACTCAGTATAGGGAAGTTGATAGAAAAGAATTATAAAGTGTCAATTGAAGATAAGATGATGAGAGTCGTTGATGCAAATGGGAGATTAATCTTGAAGGCTCCTATGTATCAAAATAAAACCTTCAAGATTAAACTAAATGTGATGGAGCACAAGTGCCTTTCGACTGCCGCTAGCAGAGATGAATGAATATGGCATTATAGACTAGGCCATCTCAACTTCAGAGACATCAGAGATTTGAAGAGAAGAAATATGGTTTCAGGATTGCCAGAAATCGACATTCCAAACGAGGTATGTGAGGAATGTGTGCAGGCGAAGCAACACAAGAATAGCTTCAGCAAGGATGCAAGAAGCAAGTCGAATGCTAGTCTTAAAGTCATATACTCTGATGTATGTGGACCAATCTAGGTGGATTCGATGGGAGGTAACAAATACTTTGTTACATTCATAGATGATTTCAGTCGAAAGCTGTTGACTTGTCTGATCAAGAAGAAAAGTGAAGTATCGAAGTATTTGCCAAGTTTAAGTTTATGGTCGAAAGACAAAGTGGTCGAAAGCTCAAAGTTTTGAGAACTGATGGTGGTGGAGAATATGTGTCAAAAGACTTCGACAGGCTATGTGAAAAGGAAGGGATTGTGCACGAGGTGGTGCCACCCTATACTCCATAACAAAATGGAATTGCAGAAAGGAAGAATCGAACCATCATGAATATGGTGAGAAGTATGTTGAAAGGCAAGAATTTACCTAAAGAGTTTTGGGGTGAAGTTGTTTCGACTGCAACATACATTTTAAACAGATGTCCTACAAAGAAGCTAGAAGGAATTACTCCAGAAGAATGTTGGTCTGGTGTGAAGCCTAGCTTGATTTATCTGAAGGTATTTTGATCTATTGCACATAGACATGTGCCAGATCAGTTGAGAAGAAAACTTGATGATAAGTCAAGTAAAATGATTCTAGTTGGATATCATTCGACAGGAGGCTACAAGTTGTTCGATCCAGTGAAAAAGCAGATTGTGATCAGCAGAGACGGCATCATAGATGAGTTTAAAGAATGGGATTGGACTGAAAATGTCAAGAAAGATTCAGTGGGAATCCTATTCGAAGATCCAGAAACTCAAGTCAAAAGAGAAGTTAGACAAGAGGAACCAACAGATATACCAAGTACAAGCAGACCTCAAAGAACAAGGCGCATTCCTGCAAGATTGCAAGATTGTGTGATTACATCAGATGATGTAATAGATAATGAAGGTGAACTAGTACATTATGCTTTCTATGCAGATGTCGAACCTGTTAATGTAGCTAAAGCATTGAAGGATTCGAAGTGGGTGAAAGCAATGAACGAAGAAGTGAAGTCTATCAAAGACAATAACACTTGGTCACTTATCAAATTGCCTCAAGGAAAGAAGGCAATTGATGTCAAGTGGGTATACAAAGTGAAAACAAATTCGAAAGGTGAAGTAAATTGACACAAAGCAAGACTTGTGGCGAAAGGATTTCTACAGAAAGAAGGAATAAACTTCGATGAAGTTTTTGCACCTGTTGCTATGATCGAAACAATCAGGTTGGTTGTTGGTCAAGCAGAAATAAATAGTTGGTACATATGTCAGATGGACGTGAAGTGTGCATTCCTAAATGGACCCTTAGATGAAAAAGTCTATGTTAAACAACCAGTTGGATTTGTGAAACATGACGAAGAAAGAAAGGTGTACAGGCTACATAAAGCCCCGTATGGATTGAAACAAGCTCCAAGGGCTTGGAATAAGAAAATTGATAGTTTCCTAAGGGAGAAGGAATTTGTGAAGTGAACAACTGAACATGGAGTATATGTAAGAAGAAGTAAGAGTAAATTGCTTATATTATGTCTCTATGTAGATGATTTGTTGATAACAGGTAGCTGCAAGAGTGAGATCGAAGACTTCAAAGGTGATATCAGCAAGGAATTTGAAATGTCTGATTTGGGTGAGATTTCATATTTCCTTGGCTTCGAATTCTGCAAGAGCAGTAGAGGTTTGATGATGCATCAAAAAAGATATGCAGGAGAAATTCTCAAGAGATTTGAGATGGAAGAATGCAACCCAACTTCGACACCTGTAGAACCAAGACTGCAACTGTCCAAAGATGCAGATGAAGATAATATTAATCTAACCCAATACATAAGACTTCTTGGATCATTGAGATACCTTTTTCATACAAGGCCCGACTTAGCATACAATGTAGGTATGGTAAGTAGATTCATGCAGAAGGCAAAAGTATCACATCTAGCAGCAGTGAAGAGGATACTAAGGTATCTCAAAGGAACTTTCGATTATGGCATTTTGTTTCCTGTAGCTGATAAAGGAAAAGAATGCAAGTTAGTGGGATACACTGATTCGAGTTGGTGTAGTGATGCTGAAGATCGAAAGTCAACAACAGGATATGTGTTTATGCTAGGTGGTGCACCAGTTGCTTGGAATTCAAGAAAGGAACCAGTAGTGACATTATCATCATGCGAAGCAGAATACATGGCTGCTTCTCTTTGTGCATGTCAAGCAACTTGGATGGTGAACTTGATCGAAGAGATAACAGGGAAAAGTCATGGAGCAATTACCATGAAGATAGACAGCATGTCAGCTATTAATCTAGCGAAGAACCCAATAGTACATGGTCGAAGTAAGCACATCGAAATAAGGTTCCATTATCTTCGAGAGCAGGTAGCAGATGAGAAGATGAATTTGGAACACTGCAGAACTGAGAATCAGATTGCAGACATCATGACGAAGGGAGTGCAAGTCGAAGTATTCAGAAGACTAAGAGCCATGATGAACATAGATAGTTTAGACACAATGAATTAGGTGGTGTGTTAAATTGTACTCCCTCCATTCTCTTTTATAAGAAAATTTTAACTTTTTAGATTAATTTAATAATTGATGTATCTAACTTATATATAGTCTAAATACATTATTTATTCAATGAATCTAAAAAGTCAAAATTTTCTTATAAAAGAGAATGGAGAGAGTAATTCAGTGTGTCGAAACTCTGTATCAAAAAGATTTGATTTGTTTTAGATTTAAATAGATTTAATTTAAATCTAGAATAGATTAGATTTGATTTAGTAACAAAATAGATATTTTGGACTTTGGACTTAAGGTGTAAGCTCAATTATAAATAGAAGGAGTAACTCCTATTTTTTGTAAGCAAGTCAAACAAGTTGTATTCACAGAATTTGCAGTTGCAAGTGAATAACAAAGTTTTCACAGTTTGTGAGCAGAGAGAAACTCTGCAGAAATTATTTGTCTTGTCTTATTTTCTTTGTTTGTCTCATAATTAAATTGTCATTGTGGTAGAAATTCATCATAGACTTTGGTGGATTTCCAACAGAGATCATCTATTACAAATTAGTGGGCTTGGTGATTTTTCAAAAAATATTCGTTTGACTTTTAACACTATTTGATTCACGGTTGTTTGAATTATTTGAAAAAAATGAAATATGCGTATTTTTCAGAACAAAACGGAACAATCGTAAGTGTTATCTGAAAGAGCAAAGCTTCAGCCGTTTTGATGGTTAAAGTTAAAATATATTTCTTTTATTTATGATTATCAGTTAGAGAGATTATGTAGGCTGTTTTTTATTGATTTTTTTCCAAAATTTTAAATTGTAATTTTAAATTATTTCTTTTATTATTTTCGGTACATCATATATTGAAATGACTACTTTAAATTATTAATATATTTTATTTTGTCTTTTCTTTTTCAAAAAAAATTGTGTTTGAATTATCATACAAATTCTAAATTACTATTAAAGTGTCTTCAAATCTTCAATAACATAAATTTTATTATATGAAAATATAACAATGGCTTATCTTTTACATGTTATTTATAAAAAAACAAGGTGTGTCTCTACACGTCTTTAATAATTTATATTTTTATATAAAAAATAACAATGTCTTATCTTTTATAATTTATTTTAAAAACACACTATCATATTTTGAGAAATAAAATATAAAATAATAGGTGAACGCGCCAACTGTATTAAAAGAAGTTTAAGAGTTGGACGGTAATGTACGGTCAACTCGACACCTTTAATAATACTCCATTGCATTTTATTTTATTATTTAATTTTTTTTTTTGGCTACAAATACATTGCATTCTGCTACCACAATAGTAGAAATTGTACTAAAATACATCACAATTTTAACTCTATCAAATTGGCAAAACAACGCCAAACCCTAATCGATTTTCCAACCAGGTTCGTTCTTCCATTCTACATGGTTCCTTCAATTTCTCAATGCTTTTTCATTTTTTTTTTTTCTGATTGTGTATGTTTTGTGACATGTATTAGTTTATTCTCTTTGATCGGTTTTCTATGTCCAAGATCTAAGGGATTTGATGAAATTAAGAGTTTTTTTTTTTTAGTTTTTTTTTTATAATTTGTTCGGGATTTATTTTGAAACATTAATCTTTTTCTACCAGCCCATGAAACTGTTGTAATAGTTAGTTTTGATTTGAGGGTTAGGGTTTTTAATTTTTATATATAAAAGTTGCCTTTGTAGGGAAAGTTATGTTAGGTGGCTATTAATTTGTGATTTAATGCTGGATTTCAATATTATGAGGGACTGATATTTTTTTACATTTTTAGTTTTAATTTGTAGCAGGGTTGTATGAAAATTGATCTGTGGAAAGAGGAAATTTTTTTATGGGTCTCTTGTTTTTATATAGAAAAGTTGTTTTTGTAGGGAAAGTTTAGTTAGGTTGCTATGAACTTGTGATTGACCTATGGATTTTCAACATTATGAAGGTTGGAGCTGAAATGAAAACTTTTGGTTTTGTAAATTCTGTTTGTAAATTATTGGGTACTTATGAATTTTGCTTAACTTGCCTTCAGTAAGTAGGCTGGATGCTTAGGATTTGTTGGTCAGACCGAGGTTTTAAACTCTGGTTGTGGCTGCAGTTATGCTGTGATCCTTGATATTGTTGATAAATGCAACGGAATGTGGTTGATGCTGCTGCGATGCATTTGCGAAGGCCTCGAAAACCTTCATATTGCAGCTGCATTGCATTTTCAAAGGCCTCCAAAACCTATATATTGTGGCTGTGACGCATTGGCCAAGGCCTCCAAAACATTTATATTGCGGCTGCCATCGTGGTTGTTGACCGTAATGTCAAACTATGGCTGAAACATATTGCATAGTGTGTCACAGCTCAAGTTTTGAAGGATAACTGATCGTTTGTCAAGTAATGGAGTAACTAATACAGACTACTTTATTTAGCTTGTATTTACTTTCTTATCTTTCTTTTTGCAGCTAAGCGTCTAAATGAGTCTTCCACAGGATCCACCCAGATCATTTTTCCCCTTTGGAAATCCTTTCCGAATGATATCACCTAAAGGCACTAAGTTATCTCCAAAACTAGTGGCAGTGTTAGGTGCTTTTGAAGAAACTTTGGAAGAGAGGCTGAAAAAGCTTATTCCTAAAAGCAAGGATGAAGTCGTCAGCTTGTCTTGGATGACTTCGGCTATGCAGGCACTTTGTGACAGTCACAATGACATTAAAACTCTCATGACAGACCTTAAGCTTCCTGTGACTGATTGGGATGAGAAATGGATAGATGTGTACTTGGACATTAGTTTGAAATTGCTGGACATATGCAATGCATTTAGCTCCGAGTTATCACGTCTAAACCAGGGCCAGCTTTTACTTCGATGCACGTTGCACCATATAGGCTCCTCCTCACCAGATCATCTTTTCCGGGCATGTTCTTCACTTGATGGTTGGAGGCAGCATATTAGTTCGAAAAATCCTAGAATCGAAAAATGTGGCAGCATTTTGGATAATAATCTGGTTGAGTCATCTGATATACCAAAGGTTAAAAAGTCACCAGAAGGTACGGTTTTGATGCAAGCTATATATGGAGTAAAGGCGCTGACAGTTTTTGTGTGCAGTGTATTTGTGACTGCTTTTTCAGGCTCTACAAAGAACTTGATGGATATGGATGTGGCCGATGTTTATTCATGGGCTCCAGCTTTTAAAGGTCTGCAGAATCTTGTTAATGAAGAGATTAGAATTAGATTTTCAAGTGGGAAATTTACTGTATTTAATGAGCTGGAAGCCATTGATTTGTCTGTGAGGGAATTATACCCTATTGTCCAAGGTGTTGTACATACAATTGAGAAAGAATCACATGCAAAAACTGTGGAGAGATTAGGCAGCGTAACGGAGAATTTCTCTCAAGGACTAGATCTTCTTGCAAAGGAGGTGGATGGCTTTTTCCAAGTGCTCTTGTCTGGCCGTGATGCCTTGCTAGCTAATCTGAGGTCGGTTACACTCGGCAATGACCATATCTTGGGAGCTAAAAGTGATGCACAAGTGGCCAATTGAATATGTTGCAGCCTAGCTCTGGTATATACTTAGGAATCTAGGTAGTGGGTTTTATCTTTTGTGATTGATAATGTCATTCAATCTTGTTTTACTTATATTGAAGTTTTCTTTAGTAATATTAGCTTTTATAATTGTATTATTGAACCGCCGAAAGTGGTAGTTGTGGCATTCTGTGTATCAAAGTACAATAAAATATGTATAAAGGAAGTTATTTATGGTCCAACAGTTTGGTTAAGTTATCACCTTGAAATCTTTTGTAGAAATGGCGAGGGGTACATAGGGCCTACCCTGAAAAATGAGAATTTTGATGCCAGGGCCTACTAAAAGAGTTGTTATCCCCTCGTAATGAGATTATTTAAATTGTATTTTATGTGCATAGTGGTGGAGTTTGAACAAAACACTCGAGGGCGAGTTATTTTTTAAATTGCCTATGGTTTAAGTAGCTACTTATATGGAAAAGGGTGCTAAAAGAGGTTGCATTTTCAATCTAAACTCTGAAATTCTGTAGGAAGTTAGTAAATGCCGTCAATAAACTCTGAATTCTGCTATAGCAAGTTAGTAAGTAATTCATATTTAAAAGTTGTTAGAGTTAGAAACTTCTGTAGAAGTATTTGTATTAGTCAGAAGCAGGAGTTTTTGATGTTCTGTTTCAAAAGTATGTTAGCTTATGAGTTCTAAGGTTTTAGTTATACTTGTTAGCTTGGTTAGCAAGTTAAGTTAGCTATTATGGTTATTTTTGTTAGGGTCTACGTGACAGTTTACTTTGTGCATATAAGTAACTTTGTAATTAAGATTTTAGTAAGATTTATAATATACAATTTTTTTTTCAACAAGTTGTTGTAGTACAATAGCCGTCTTTTTCTCTCTTATCTTATTTGTATCTCATTTTTATGGTGCACAATTAGTATCTAGAGCTCAGGTTCGGATCCACAAGGAAACACGAGAAACACGAGTGAAAACGGTGAGACGTTATGTGATTGATTTTGTTTCTTGAATTCGTGTTGAATCTTGAACGGAATCGTAACAAAATCACATTTTCTGATTCCGCGAGATTGAGAAACACTGTGTTTGGTGAGATCTGGGTGACTTGAAGAAGGTTGAAGATGAGTGGAAGTAATTTGAATACAAAATTTCTGGTACTTGATGGAAAGAACTGGAATCGGTGGATGATTCAAATGTGTGTGTTGTTTGGTGCTCAAGATGTGCTTGATCTTGTCACTGAAGGTTATGTTCCGGTTGCAGTGGATGCGACGGAGGAACAAAGAAAAACGCAGAGAGAAACAAGAAAGAAGGACCAAAAGGCGTTGTTCTTTATCCATCAGTGTGTAGATGCGAATGTGTTTGAGAAAATTGTGGATTCAACGAAGGCAAAAGTTGTATGGGATATACTGACAAGATGTTACGGTGGTGACACATCAATGAAAAAGGTGAAGCTTCAATCTATATGTAAACAGTATGAGAATCTCGACATCAAGAACAATGAGAAGATACCTGATTACAAATTCTAGAGTGATTTTGATCACAAATGAGATAAAATCATATGGAGAAATCCTTTATGAACAAGTAATCATTGAGAAGGTATTAAGATCTCTTACTCCTCAGTTTGATTACATTGTTGTAGAAATTGAACATTCTAAAGATCTGAGCACCATGAGAGTTGAAGAGATGCAAAGTAGTCTAGAGGCGCAAGAGTTGCATCTGAATGAAAGAATTTCTGAAAGAGTGGTTAAGCAGGTTTTGAAAGCTTCTTTCGTCAGGGAGGACCAGAAGCATTCTTGGTCAGAAGCCAAGAAGATACATGGTGGTAGTTCTCAGAAGTCAGAAGTCTTCAATTTTGATGAGAAGAAACATCAGAAGGAAAGTGAGAAGTTTGACAAGAAGAAGGTTCAATGTTATTGTTGTAAGCAGTTTGGCCACTTTGCTTAAGATTGCTGGTCAAATAAGGGAAAGAAATCAGAAGAAACAAATATAACCAAAAGAGACTCAGATGATGAACTTGTGCTATTGATGACTTCTGAGTCTGATGGAAATTATTTGGCAGACTGGTGGTATATGGACACTGGCTGCTCAAATCACTTAGATGGAAATAAAAATTTCCTGATAGATTTTGACTCCATAAGGAGGACAAAGATCAGATGCGTTGATGATAAGTACCTCAATGTAGAAGGTATGGGAAATGTCAAAGTCAGAATGAAGAATGGAAGAATCGTTCTCATCAAGGATGTTTGGTATGTTCTTGGGATAGAGAGAAATCTGATGAGTGTATGCCAGCTCATTGAGAAAGGTTTCTTAGTTAATATGAAAGATAATCTCTTGAAGTTGTATGATTGTAATCAGAAGCTGGTTATGCAACCAGAACAAGGAAGCAACATAACATTTAAGGTGAATGTGGAGACTGCTGAAACAAAATGCCTTAGTGTAGGAGGCGCTGAAGGTGATAGTGAGTTGTGACACAATAGATTAGGGCATCTAAACTTCAAAAGTTTAGGGCATATGAGTTCTAAAAGGATTTTACGTGATATTTCGATGATTGTGAAGCCTCAGAAGTCATGTGAAATATGCATGAAAGACAAGCAATTTAGATCGCCATTTGTATCAAGAGTGGCTCCAAGAGCAAAGCATACTTTTAGAGTAGTGCATTATGGTGTTTATGGACCATTTCCAGTATCGTCACTTAGAGAAAACAAGTATTTTGCGTCCTTTGTGGATGAGTTCACAAGGATGACATGGGTAACACTCATCAAGTTCAAGAATGAGGTGTTTACTGAGTTTCAGAAGTTCAAGGTGATGGTTGAGAAACAGAATGGTCATAAGCTGGAAATTCTTAAAACTGATGGAGGAGGTGAGTACAACTCTAAAGAATTTCATAAGTTTGGTGAGGAGAATGAAATTGAGCACGAGGTTACTGCTCCTTACACTCCTCAACACAATGGTCTTGCTGAACGAAGAAATATAACTTTGTTTGATATAACGAGAAACATGCTGAAAGAGAAGAACACGCCACACACTTTGTAGGGAGAAGTTGTTGCCACTTCAGCGTATATATTCAACAGATATCCAACTAAGAAGTAGACTGGAGTTAAGAAAAGTGTGAGTCATCTTAGGATATTTGGTTATGTGTGTTACAAACATGTTTCAGAAGCTCGAAGACAGAAGCTGGATGACAGAAGCAAGGTAATGTTATTTGTAAGGTACCACAATATAGGTGCATACAAACTTTATTGTCTAGAAACTGATAAAGTGAAAGTCAGCAGAGACGTCATTGTGAAAGAGTCAAAAGCATGGGATTGGAGCAAGTCTCAATCTGATTCTAGTGTAGTATTAACACCTGATGTAGCTTCTAAGGATAACTCATAAGGTTCTGAAGATGGGTCAAAACATGGAAGTTTTGTAGATAAGTCAAAGTTAGAAGATGAATCTGATTATGGAGATAACTCAGAATTCGAAGGTGGTTCTGATGGTGAATCTGACTCTGATTCAAATTTTGACGATAATCCATAATCTGGTGGTGGTCATGCTTCTGAAAGAGAAAAATCTGAAGACGTAAGTTGTAGAGGAAAATATTTTGGAAGTAATCATGTTTCTGAAGGTGGTACTTCTGAAGGTAATGGTTCTGGACGAGGTCTGGAAGATAACACAATTCCAGGTTTTGTAGAAGATTCAGAACGAGTTCAGAGGCCATATAAAATCAGACAAATATCAAGAAGGTTTGCAGGATTTGAAATGTTACAAGATATTGAAGTAGACCCAGATAAAGAAGTTATTCAGTGTGCTATGTTAGTAGATTCTGAACCTGTGGA